GTCCCCGTCAGAGTTGTGTACAGACCGACGGGTAATTGATTGGATTGTGACGGAAATGTTACGATCCTGTCAGTCGAAAAACTTTGTTGTAGAGCCACCTGTACATACAGCTTGTACAGTTTGTATTCTTTATTTATCTTTTGAAACAATCTTCTTTTTCTTAACTTAACCCATTTGGACTATTTTGTGTGGGTTTAAACTAAAATCTACCTAAATTACAGGCTTTAATGCAATCAAATATGAAAAATGCATAGGGGCAAAGCTCTGTGTTTCCTATCGTATTGTCCTTTAAAACACTGTTAAGAACAGTGCTTAATAATTCAAGTTGAATATGATGTTTCTTCTGAACCTTCTGTCACTTTCTCCCTTTACATTGCAGTTCAAGGTCTTCCCAAACTCTGTAGACTGCTGATTGTTCAACAACAACTTTTCTTATTTGTACCTTCTCCAGGTCCAGCGTCCTGTCTACGAGTCGATGCTGGACGCTGATCTGACTCTCGATGCTTTGGTGTGTGACAACAACACTCACCTCTATGCTGTTGAACTAAACCCCAGTATGGCTGACAGCGTACACATTTCTAAAAGAGTCAATGGACATTCGTTAAATGCCAAATGTTCAGATGTCGCTTCTGTTAAAAAAGTAAACGGTCAACATTCGCAACCGAAGAAGAAATCTAAGCTGTCTGAGGAGACGGTCAGAGAGACGTTTGGTCTCTTTGGTTCAGTGGAGAGAGTCGCCCTGCTGCAACAATCTGGAAAACATGCAAGACATGCAAGCATAAGTGAGTAAAACCACGATGTTATTCATTAGGAATAGAGTCAAACTAACTTTCTGTGTGTCTCTAACATATATGTCTCTGGTTGGCAGGGTTTGAAAGCTCAGAGGGGAAACGTGCAGCTCTCGGCTCCTCTGAAGATCTCAGGAAGGAGAACTACCTTGTCTGTCCTTCACTAACTCCTCACCACCTTCCCTCCTGGACGGCAGTAACAACACCGACCACCTCAGTGGAGAGGAGCCACATGCACATAAGCTCTCAGGTAAAGATGGTTGTATTGTACGGTTTGAATATATCGTCACTTATCAGAAAAAGGAGTCCAACCCAGTGTAAATGTGTGTGTCTTTTTTGTTGACATGCTAACACATTGCGGTGTAGCTGAGCCCAACTTGGACAGATGAATATAGATCAAAGTCTGACTAAAGGTGCATCTCACTTCGTTAAATGAAATCCTTGCGTCCCTCACTTGCGTGGTTTCCCTGCGTTTAGTCCCTCCCACCAGGGAAGCATGGAGAGACGCAAGGAAACCACGAGAAGCAGGGAAATGAGTTTTAAGAGCAATGGGACGTCCTTTCCTCCGGAGCGTCACGTGAAGCGACGCCCGTTTGTGGTGACGCCGCACAGCTGATCGTCTGACAGCAGCCAGATCAGTGCATGCGCTGCATCGTCCAATCAGTGAGCGATACACAGTAAGGGGGCGGGGCGAGTGTCTGAGGATTTCACCGGAGGATAGTCTGATAGTTCCTCGATCCTCGGTCCTCCGGCAAAAATAAGGGCAGTAGGATGCTACAAAAGATGGCGCAGACAAATCAACTTCCGGTGATACCGAGCCCGAGGAGCGAGGAAATGACAAATAACCGAAGTGAAACGCACCCTATGTAGAGAAGATTCTAACAAACACAGTCTGATTTTAAAGATGGCTGCCATTGCATTTTCTATTGTACCATCATCTTTTTAGTGGAAAAGCCTCAAAGAATAGGTTTATTTTCTATCTCTCCAGAAAGGTGGTTTGCTGGTGTTTGCAAAACAGCATTTAATGTAAAACCATAAAGAGTCTATGGTTATGAAAAGGAAAAAGACGACAGCTCGAAGCTGTACTGGGAGAAACCATAACATCACTGAGGCAGAACAGCCTTTAGGATTGAAGGCACAGTCAATGCTCTGATGATATTTTCTTGACTCAAATGTCAGAGACAAAATTGAGCTTTTGTGACGATAAATTTGACTTTTGCCTCTTAATATGATAAAAAAGACTCTGAAAGTTTATTCTGCAAACCACAGAGGTGAAGTGATGATGCTTTTGGGCTCTTTGGAATTGAAGCACAATGCGAAAAAACAGCGTGCCCATAACACAAAATAGTTAGTACTTTCAGATAGTTAATAGACTTTTGAACACATGTAATAATGACTCCAATGTGTGATCTATGCAGGACCAGGAAATGGATCTCCTGATGGGGAAGTTGGACCGCCGGCTACAGAAGCTGTTCAGATATCTCCCAGAAGGCACCTTGTCTGTGGTTGTGCTGCTCGGACACACTAGGTAAGGACTCTGACAGAGTCTCAAATAAATCTGCTATTAAATTAAATGAAATATTTCTAAACTTTTCTAATCTTCTCTTCTCCTCCCTAGTGATCACGGTCTCCTTCCTGGTCTGTGCCTTATGGAGGTCAAGCAGGAGCCTTAAGGAGAACTGACACCTCTGTGGGAATTCAAATAAACCGGGACAATATATTCCAGTGCAATGATGCCTTATCTTGTGAAGTGAAAGCAATCTTTTCTTTTTAGAGAATACGAAAATAAAACTTTGCTGTAAGCCCCCTTTTACCTCTGAGGCCTGTACTACGAATCCAAGAGACCTTGGATATGTTTGAGTTACCCGGCTTAACTAACCCAAAACAAACGCGCTCTCGCTAAGCGGTCCTACGACGCTGGTTATCAACTCGGTAACTCAAGCCAGGGTTTCTCTGTCCGGCTGAGCGCGCGTTCACATTAAATGGGCGGGGTTAGCAACATTTGACCAATCACAAACGTGGACAAGCGTACTGACAGCGTGTTCGAATGCGTACATTAACAGGTTTATGATATCACTGCCCCGTCTAAGACACGAGTGGATCTGAATTTAATTACATTTGACTCGAGTGTTTCATCAACCTAATGTGTTGCTTAAAATAATACTTCTGCATACAGTATGTGACACTGTGAGTGTTGCACGGCCAGATACGGCTCAGCTGACTCAGATAAGGAAATATATGATACATTATGATGTGAAATGCCGCGGACTGTACTTAATGTTACTCTGATCCGGTTACTTATGTTGTGGCAGATATTTAATTAAGCTTTCTTAACGCTAATGTTATAATAGTCAGATTGCTCTGAAGATGGGAGGTGATATTCTATTAATGTTCACGTTCACACAGTCGGTGATTTTTGCCGGCCGTCTTTCCTGCAACGGCAGCTTTTCTGTATTTCCTTTCTCCTGTAATATGACTTGATCGCTTTAAACTCCACACACTGAGCT